AACTTTGAAGTTTTGGATCAAGATGTGATATGTAATGATGTTTCAACAATCAAAGCGGGTCCTTGGATTAATGAACTGCAGTCTTTTGGTATTAATGTTTCTGACACTGTAGAAGGGCCAATTGAAGTTTTGATTGGATCTGATATTGGTGGAAAGTTGTTTACAGGGAAACGTCATGTTTTGACAAATGATTTAGTTGCAATGGAAACCTTACTTGGTTGGGTGTTAATGGGGAAAGTAAAAGTAAAAGGAGTGACATGTAGATCAAGTGTAATGACTATAACATCTTTGTTAACACCTATTTCTGACAAGTGTAGTGTAGACATTCCTAATATAGAGGATACTGTAACTGTCAAGATGGAATCTGAAAATAATAAGATTTGTGAATGTGATGAAGACGCTTTTGGATATGAATTGAAAAAGTCTGTAAAAAAAACGAAAAAGAGGTAGAAGAAGTGCAAGATAAAGAAAGTTCAAATGGAAAAGTTGTAAATAAAGTTAAATTTAGAAAACGAGGAAAACAAATTAAGTTACCAAAAAGACTGAACTTTTAATATGATAATATGTGTTTTGAGTCTTTAAATAATGAAAACTTTAAGACTCAAAAGGTGGGAGTATGTTGAAAATGACTGTCTCTAGATGATTATTTATATGTTAATTTAATTCATCAGATGTTTTATTTGTTTACATTTTGCAATTAGTGTTTTCCTTTTGATTGATTGTTAGAAATGGTCTTGAATAGTTATGTCTGATTAAAATTGAAGTTCTTTTTGTACTATGTTTTCTTGAGATTATTTAAAAAGTATACCCCTTTTAGAAGAATCAGTATCGCGTTTTAACAATCACAATTAAAGTCACAGTTGCTAGTTAATTTCTTAAGTGCTATTGAGAATTCATTTATGGATTCATGTTCTTGTTGAGTACGTGAAATAAACTTGTGTTGTAAAGCCCATTGACTTGGCTGTGGTTCTACAAAATCCTTAAGTATCTGAACCAACTCACTGTAGTCTTTTGTAAGTGGGTTTTCAGGTGCACATAAATCATAAAGTTGTTGGTGTAACTGGGGTGTAAGAGCGTGTAGTAGCATGTAAACTTTAGCATTATCATCTGTACTTAGATTTTTAAGGTGTAGGAATATTTCAAGTCTCTTTATGAAATTTGTAACCGTTTCCTCTGGGTGAAAAGGTGTAAAATTTATACTACCCGACAATGAGGACCCGGGAATTGAACTATGTGTCGCCTCAGATGGATTGCTGATTGGGTGAAGTGGTGTAGACCTAGTGTTGGAACATTCATTCTTAATCAACTCTTGAAGTTTTGTTGTAAGATTTAAATACTTATCCTCGACATTACATCTACATTCTATTTCATGGTGCAAGTTTTCTTCATCGGTTAATGTATCAATTTGCTCCTGAATACTTTTGTAACGTTCCCACTGGTCAGCAATTGCTTTGAGTTTAACACTCACCTCAGTCACTGTAAGACTACCTTGAGACTGGAATCTTTCTGCCTTCTTCAACTGTCCTTTTACTACTGCTCGTGCTTTCTTTAGATTATTTAACTCTTGTCCATCCATTCTTCGTTTTTCTCGTCGCCAATGTTACATTTTCAAATAATAAGTAAATTAGTTCAGTTGAATCAAACTCATACTTTTATGTAAACAGAAAAACTGATACAAACAAAACAAATGCAAAATAACAGGTGATCATTAATTCACATACACATATGGTCTAAAGTCAGTACATCAGTTAAACACATCACTTCGATACAGCTGATCGTGATTTATCATCAAGCCAGTACGCCATGTTGACATTTGGATTACTTATTTGCCAGCCAATTCTGCAATGTACTATATAAAACAAAGGATAACGTTACCTATAATAATTAAGACGTTTTAGTTAGGTACGTTATAGAATGTAGAAATAAATTATTTTACTGAGAAACATTTTAAATTTGTGTATTATTAACATTTAACATGAAATAGCCACATTGACTAAATAGTTAACGATCCAAGATTAGTACAACTTCTGCTTTGTTTCTATTTAAAAACATATGTTTTGTAGAGTTTAATCAATATTTTGTATGAAGTGGAATAACCTCCAACGGCTACTCTTAGAAAATAACCTGGGAATAAAGATGGAATAGGTTCTTACAAGAAATATATATTTGTTAATTAAGTAAGTACTATTACAAGTTCCAATGGGAGAAAAAATAAAATTGTTTGGAGATTTTAAACAGGTACCGTCTGTTGCAAAAGAGTTAAGAATCAGCCGATGATTAGGCCTAACTTGATAAGTTTGGTCAATGGGATGCCTTTACTTTACACTAATGTAGTTACACCTTAACAAAAGGAGTATAAACTTAGAAATATTAACTGGGTAGGGGTGCTAATTTAGCGGGTTTGAAGAAGAAGAAGAACTAAGCTTACCTCAACACACCTTTATTTGCATTTTGTTATATTTGACGAAGACAATTTCCAAAATTCCAATCAGGGGATCCTTTTGTCATCACCATAAACCATTAGACCAAAGCGACTTTAGTAAACCATAATTTATTCACAAACAATTAAATGTTTGCTGCATTGAGCAGAGTTAAACCCATGTTGTGATTCGAATGATTTATTGAAAATAACATCAACAAAGGCAAACAAAGACAAAAAGCAAACTGTTTTTACACAAAAGATATGACGTACAGGGATATCTATTCTGACTTATAGGATAATATAGTTCTTAGTTTGTTTAAATATTAGAATAATTTGTTTTATATTATTGAGCTTTTTAGGGACTTATGTCCCTACAAGCCACTAGTATAATTTATCTTTTCAATAGACAATGTTATTAAATTACCAACGTAACACATTCGTGTTTACCATCAGCCTAAAAAAGGTTTTTTAGTTAAATAACTTTAAGTGCCATCTTTTTAGTTTATTTGATGTTAAATAGTCCATGGTTTCATTTTATTTGCCTAACACAACGTTGTTAACATTGACTTGTAACAAAAATAACTCTGCAACTAAACCCTTAAGTTGTATCATTGACTAAATATACGTCTGTAGGTATATATAGTCAATGGTTTTACTTATAGTTATGTAAAGTTCTATGGAAAGTGAATCATAATTTACTCAAACCACATATCAGACAAGCTAGATAAAAAAAATATTTAATTGGGTTAAAGTTTGTTTCTTTTTTGGGTCACTGTTGCTCCAGCCTTGGAAAATAACCGCTCAGAAGGCACGAGCGTGGCCATTTTACTCAGATTTCCAGATTTGTCAGAAATTACCTTCCGATACTTACGATACGATACTGGCCTCTTGGTATCGATACCAATTAAATATCGGAACAACCGATACCGATACAATACCAGCAGTATCGCTATAAAAGTATCGATACCTACTGGTATCGATAGTATCGCAACATCCCTAGGGAGGGTAAAAGAGTGTTTTTTTTGTAAAATTTTAATACTGTAGTTTAGTAAGAAATTAATGTATTTTCTAAATTTGATCAAAATATTTTCATAAACAGTTGACTTTTTCTCCATAAGAATAACATGGGAATTTTAAATTTACAATTTTTTGGAATTTTCTCCGTAACCATTAGGCGCACAATCACGCTTCAATATACTAAATTATTTGTTTTTATAAGCTCTACAAAATGGTTTGGAAAGAAATTGTGAAATGTTGTGTTTTTATAGTGTCAAAAATGGGGAAAACCAATTTTTACACCATATAACCCCCTATAAACCCCCGTTCCCATAGTCCGATCATGCTGGTTCGCGAACTCGTTAGAATAAATGTAGGTTTACACGTTTATTCCAAATTTCATCAAAATCGGATCATTTTTGCTCTAGTTATCGCGCTAACGGACACACACATATATATATGAATTTGAACGGATGGTGTTTTTGGCCTCTGGGGACCTCAAAATAAAAAAGTAAATCGATCCCGGGTCCAGGTCTTACCATGAGTACTACGGTAATAGCTTATTTCCTATATGGGAAATTCGCTAATATTCCCTATACAGGGTGTTCCAGTAAAGCGTAGCGGGCTATAGAGATTCATATTCTACATGCAAAAATAAGTCGAAAATGAAGAATAACTTTTTTCGATTTCGGCTTAGTTTGGCCGTAATCCGCCATTTTGTATTTTTTTGAAAATAATTAATTACTCAAAAACCCTTGGAGATATTTTTATGAAACTTGGTATAAACTTTAATTCTACAGGTATAAACATTCTCTGAAAATATCTTTGATCAGGCTCATCAAATTTCAAAATGGCGGCCATTTAAATTTTTTTAAGTAAAACTCAATGAAAAGTGGCCATTACAAAAAAAATTTTAAATGGTCGCCATTTTGAAACTAGATGAGCCTGATCGAAGATATTTTTGGAGAATGTTTATACCTGTAGACTTAAAGTTTATACGAAGTTTCATAAAAAATATCTCCAAGGGTTTTTGAGTAATTAATTCTTTTCAAAAAAATACAAAATGGCGGATTACCGGTACGGCCAAACTAAGCCGAAATCAAAAAAAAGTTATTCTTCATTTTCGACTTATTTTTGCATGTAGAATCTGAATCTGCATAGCCCGCTACGCTTTACTGAAACACCCTGTATATGGGAAATTCGCTAAAATGGGTATTGTACTAAACAAGTTCAGCACTCAGCACTCAATAGGTTAAAAAAATGCTACAGTTTACAATATTAGATTTATTAGGCACTACCTCTGTACCCTGACAAAATTCAACACTAGTCCTTTGATAATCAAACCGCCAAAATGGAAAATATTTCCTCAAATGAAGTATAAAGGCGCATTCAAGGCCAGATTGTCTAACGCATGTATTAAAGTTCTTTATTCAAAATCTTTTAGAAGTAGCCTAGCCTATGCGTCTGATAATATTTTTAAAGCCATTATTAGTAAATGTAGGTAGATCAATTAAACTTAAAATTTCTTCCTGTGTGACTTTGACTTCTTATAAATCTACTGATGAGTTATTTCATGTTTCAGAAACTAGATTGGGAGGTGGAACTGGCAGTGGTTATGGGGCGTGAGTGTCGCAACGTGCAGGACAGTGAAGCCCTGGACTATGTGTTTGGTTATACAATAGCTCAGGATATATCAGCCCGTGACTGGCAGTCACCCAAGAAAAACAACGGACAATGGCTGTTTGCCAAGAGCATGGACACTTTCTGTCCCCTCGGGCCTGCCGTTGTCATAAAAGAGGCTTTTGGCGCGCCGAGTGGCAAGAGCATCAAATGTTCCATCAATGGCAGTTTGAAACAAGACTCCAACACAGATGATCTCATACACCCAGTTCAGCACCTCATTGCTTTTCTATCCCAGTGAGTTACCTACTGTATAAAAAACTCACCAGAGAAGTATTTTTTTTAATGAATGGATTAAAATTTTTTTTCCTGAGTTCTTAACCACAGTTGACCCTCCCAACCTTTACTGCTTCTTCAAGTGATGATAATTCTTTTCCAGAAACACTCTTGAACCAATATTTCCTCATTTGTTTATTTTTTATGTTTCTATGATTGAACCTCGAGTGATCCCTTTTCAAAGAAACTACACTTTACCCTTATAGTACAGTAATAGGTGCTAGAGGTCGTCCAGTGGTCGAAAACTCGACCATGTATATATACAGTTGGATGTTTCAGCTATAAGCGGTTGAGGTATGGTGGAATATTTTTCCGGATGAACCTTTTTGGCTGTAGGCTGTAGTGAGTGCGATCCATCGATGGTTAGGCTGTAGTGAGTGCGATCCATCGATGGTGTTAGGTTATACATCAATGGTGCGATCACGTGTTCAATGTTCACATATCAATTTTTGAGGTCAAATCAAATCAATACAAACAAACTGGCATGTTGTCAATTAGGGATAATGTTGTATTACTTACAAAAGAAATTAATTTAAGATCAAATAAATTAATTTAGTATATGCCATTGTCTAATTTATTAGAAAAAATTCATTATTTAGGCTACTGCATTTTATAAACCAAACTCGAATCTTGCTTCCTAGGCCTATCGTATAATGCTTCCTTGGCCTATCGTATAATGTTTTCCGAATCGTAAATCATCATTATGTCCCAACAGTTACTTTACGTGTATCCCAGTCACAGCAACTATATATCGGGAACCAACTTTCCATGTAGCATATTAAATATATAGATTGTTTTGTTCCTTGTAATAATGTGTAAATTTTAATTAATTTCGTAAATGTTCTTTTAGTCATGTTCGTACGAGGCCAGTAGAGCAAGCAGGTTACTTGCCTCTGTAAGTTACCTAAGGCAAGTAACCTATCCGCCAACTGGCCTTGTTTAAACGCTGCACTAGCTATGGATCCAATTTAGAATGTAAAGTGGGGTTTACATAAAATTGTTTTGATCTGTCTAGCTGTGTGACACTTCAACCCGGAGATGTGATTCTAACAGGAACACCTGGAGGTGTGGGGCTCTATTCTCAGCCTCAACAGTTTCTAGCAGTGAGTACTCATTACTTTGAATTGACTCATAAAATTTCACGAACATAAGTAGGCCTACTAACATAAATCATGGATTGATTAGTCCTTTACAATTATATGTGAGTGAGTTTGTAAAAGAAGTGTAGTGCTCGTTTAACCTTGAATAAACAACCATATTAGTTCAGCTATGTCCATTTTCATTTCTTAAAATAACAATCATATTTTTTTTTTGTTAAGTAATAAGCTGATCCAAAAATCACAGATGTTGTCATCATCTAGTGGTTGGTTGAGTTACCTTGTTTGACACATAGTATCACTGGTCCACTCAGTTCAGCGGCTCGACACTGATTTAAAGCTTTAGTCAGGGTTAGGTCACGTTCTCATAGAAGTAATGTGACCTTGTGTAATCACTACAACTACAACTAGACGATCTCAAATTCGACTCTCTTCGTCTTCTTTAAATTCACACGGCTTCGCGAGACTTTGCAAAGCTGTCACATAATGTTCAATTGGTTCGTTTTCTTGCTGAATTCTTGTAAAAAATTTTTATCTAGGTGTGAAATAATCATCATACAGTTCAGTTACCTTTTGCAATGTTGCAAAATTCTCACTTATATAATATGGTAAATCTATCTATATATTTAATACACAGTTGTAACACTGTTTTCTCAGTAATTACTGGACCGATATACAAGATTTATTTCTCAAATTAAAGGGGATAGTGTGTAGATTTGCCGAACTTCCTTAGAATTTACGTTTTTTCTAAGGGCTAGCGACCTACAGCCCTTTAAAGGTCGAGTCAATACAATTCTTATTGAAGAATATAATACACCGTTTATAAAATATTCGTCAGCTGTTTAATGTTTGTCAGACATTTGTTATTATTTGCATAACCTCACTTTCAGTATGCAATTATTAAACTTGGAGTTTATGTTTATAAACACACGATTTTGATCAAGGGAAGTGTATTTGTTAACTTATTTTTGAAATGTTTTAGTTTTCCTGCAAAGTGATCTGAAGGAAAGTGGTAATTGAGTTTAAGTCTGAGTATGGAATGTGAAATAATACCCATAGTAGGGAACCAAAACTTATTGTTTTGATCAATATAATTTATTCACTACGGCTACCAGAATAATCATGGGGAAATCCGCTTGCAAGTTGTACATATAATTGCTAATGAGTGGGAAACATACAAACATTTTATAGTAGGTGACGAATCTTACTCAAGATCAGCGTTAGACGTTCAGTGGTACTAAACTTTACCTTCTCGAGATGGTGAGTACGCTGGGATACGTGGAACTACAATATATCAGTGAATTTTTTTTTCAAGTACACAGGGAAGTTGCTTGAAAAACTGTGACTTACCATTCGGGTCTGGCGAAGAAGTATGTGACTTGATGTTTAATGGCAATGTTGACTCGGGTCATTATAGCGTTATAAAACTTTATCATTAACCCCAGGGTGTGAAAAGTACAAAAAGAAAAAGAAAAGGTAATCATTAACCTGGCGTAAAGAGACATTCCGAACGAAAAAAAATGTAGAGAACCATCGAACTTAAAAGGTAAAGAGCAGTGTTGGTGTTAAACGTGCTCTGGAAGTCCCTACAAAAAAATACCAACTCTTTTGAATTGGGGTCATTAGATTGGATTTGTCACTACTTCAAATCTATGAATTTCGAGTCAGAACAGACTAACTGGGACACAAAAATGTTTTAGTTTTCCTGCAAAGTGATCTGAAGGAAAGTGGTAATTGAGTTTAAGTTTGAGTATGGAATGTGAAATAATACCCAGCGACTTTAAAAAAAGTATTAAGTGTCAAAAGAGACAAAAAACTATTTGAGTAAAATATAATACAAATCTGCATTTGAAATGGCCAGTTCTAAGTCTCACTTGAATCAACATCTTTCTGGTAGTGGTAGTCTACATAGTTTTAAAATCCACGACTCCTTTTCCATCAAATTGGACCGTTAATACCCTCTAACATTGAACAAAGTATGCCCAACTTTATATATACGATGTAAACACAGCTTTTACTCACAGTATGGGTCAAATATTCGTGAAATGCGACCAACAGCTTATGCGTGATTTACATGTAGGCTAGCTAAGTGACTATCTTTATTCCATACAACTAATGTAATGAAAAAAAAAAAACTACGAATATAGGAATATACTTGAGCAAATTATCTAAATAGCTGCTTATTAGGTTATCAGTATTCTCCAGTTCGTATACTATTTTTTTTTTTCAAATGAAAATCAAATTAATATAAAACATTCATTTGGTTAAAATAATATATCGGTTTGATTAACATAAAATAGTTTATACTGGCAACCTATCAGTTCTATTTCATGTAAAAAATTAAACAACCCCTAAATAAAATACAAAGAAAAACAGTATTTGTTAATTATTATTTCTTTTATTGCTGACAATATTCCCGTGGCGGAGCACGGGCGGTTAACTAGTATAATTTAACTAGTAGTAGGCCTAGGTATTCAGATGGATAACACATGGTTTATAATTACAAATAACTACTTAAATTGAAAAGTAAACAAAGAGGATAATTTTGGAACATCTCAATGTATCAGCTTCTTCAAGTTTAAATGTATTGTAGATTTATATCCCTTCATCTCCTATTTAGTTCAACAGCATAGCAATTTACAATTTAAGCATTGTCTTGTTTACTTTAATTTCCAGAAGCAAGTAGAAAGTTTTTGAACTTTTGTTTAAACTATGTCTAATTGTTAGCAACATTATTTATTTATTTATTCTTTCAACGGTAACACCATTTTTACATTGGAATATACATTAAATAGGATTAAATCACTTTATAAACATAGCATAATTAGGTAATAAATATGAGCAATAATAAGAATAAATAAACGGTATCAGCATTCTGACACATACTTTCTCCCATAAGTTTGTCAACAACCTTTATCATATTGTGTAAGCGGTGAGAGTAAATATACAGAATTGGGATTAGTATAATCTTGTTCAGAATTTAAAGGACTACATACAAAATTTTTATCAAAATCGTTTGGGCCAGTTTTGTGAAAATCAGATTTGTCCGTTATTTTATGGGTTTTTTTAAATGGGAAAATAACATAATTTACAATAATTTTTGAACCGTAATTTTTACAGAAATGGGATTTGTACTATTTTGTTTAGAATATAAAGGACTATAACATACCAAATTTTTATCAAAATCGTTCAGGCCGTTTTCGGGAAAATCCTATTTTTCCGTTATTTTATGGGGTTTTATGGGAAAATTCCCCTTTTTTTTTATGAAAAAACTATTAAAACTTTAAGGACCATAACATACTATGTTAAATTAAAACCGGATTATTTTTCTAAAATCCTATTTTTTGTAATTTTACGGGGTTTTTATGGGAAAATAACATAATTTACCATAACTTTTGAACCGTAATTTTTAGAGAAATGGAATTTGTACCATTTTGTTCAGAATTTAAAGGGCTACAACATAGTAAATTATGTTATATACTAAATTTATCAAAATCGTTCGGGCCATTTTTGAGAAAATTCAATTTTTCCGGTTTTTTATGGGTTTTTATGGGAAAATCCCCATTAAAAATCAAAATTTCAAAAAAAAGAAAAAAAAGCCTGGAGATACCATGGATTAGAACCTACATACCAAATTTCATCGAAATCGGACCACAGGTGTAGTCCCTAGCTCTGTACACATCCAGACACACAGACACACACACACACAGACATCACTTCGAAAACCACTTTTTTGGGTCCAGGGGGACCCAAAACAAATATATCCACTCAAAACTCAAACTCGAAAATTTTGACGAAAACAATACTTTCTCCATATACTATGGTATAGGGGGAGAAAGTAAAAAGCAGACATGACATGCAAAAGACATAACCAGTATAAAAGAAAACAAAAATACATTCATAGGCTGAAACATTTCAAGTGTAAGACATACAAAAACATAGCAAATTAGGTACAGGCTACTAAAATACGTGCAATAAATAAGAATGAAAATGAGAAGCAGGCATAAGATGCAAAAGACAAAATAATATGGCGCATAGATAACAACAACAGGAAAAATATGAAGTGCAAAAACATAACAACAACAATATTTAACAATATACAACCGAGACATAACAACAACGACAAAAAAGGTAACAACAAGTGCAATACCGGTAGGCTAACAAAAGAAATAGTAAGACACAACAACAACAAAAAATAAATAAATATATATATATATATATATATACAAAACAACAGCCATAAATTAATTTAACAAATGCAAACACAACAGGAAACTTATTTAATAAACAAACAGGAAAACACCAACTGGACACAAATGTGGCCCTTTAAAGGCACCACCAAAGAAATAACTGAACTTTACTGAAGCCCTTAGGCAGCCACTAGTTTAAAAAGGCACTGGCACATCTTTTAAAAACGGGAGCTGAAGTGCTGAAGAAGTCCACATGAGCAGCCGCAACAGCGCCCCCACGCAGTAGCCGCGACAAGCCGCTGTTGTACGCATATGATGTGGGATGGAATCTGCGCTGGAAAATTGCTCTGGAGCGAGTGCCTCTCGGGACAATAAGGTCAATGTTGAAAAGCAGATCGGGGCTGTCCAGAAGACCATTAACCAGCTTGTACAGCACCACGAGCAGCCAGTCTACGTCTTATGTGAAGAGGTTGGATACCAAAGATCCTCTGAAGTTCTTCAATTGGTACATCGGTATATGCATAACCAATCCGGATACCCAACATCCGAATGAAGCGAGCTTGGATTCGAGACAGCAAATCAATATGACCCAGCTGATGAGGCGACCATATCACAGAGCCATACTCCTGTACATGATGGACCAGGGTCTTGTACAGCAACACAAGTGACCGAGGATCTTGAAAGTTCCTAGTAGACCGGAAGACAAACCCCAGAAGTGCATGCGCCCTTGATGTGATGTGGACAATGTGGTCAAAGGGGCTGAGTGAGGGCGTCAAGAATATTCTAAGGTTCTTCACTTCATCCATAGATGGAAGAGTGCTCCCATTGATGTAGTATTCCGACTTGAGGATGTTCAGTCCTCTCTTGAAAGTCATAACCTGGCACTTAGATAGATTTAAGTCCATGGAGTTGTTTTTGCACCACCCAACGACAATACCTATGGATCTCTGAAGGTTTTCTTGATCAGACACGGAGTGGATTTCCGAGAAAATCTTTATGTCGTCAGCAAACATGAGGTAGTTGGTGGTCAAGACCGTTCCAATATCGTTGATGAACAGATCAAAAAGTAGGAGTCCGATGTGAGAACCTTGGGGGACACCAGAGATTACAGGGAATGGTTTAGAAGTAGCTCCTTCACACTTAACAATGAGATATCTCTCCTTCAAATAGCTCTCCACCCACCTGAGCAACGAACCACCAACACCATAGGCAGCCAGTTTTGCTACCAGATGGCGATGTTGAACTCTGTCAAAAGCCTTAGAAAAGTCCAAGTACACGCAGTCGACCTGACTAGATCTACCGAAGGCTGACATTACAAATTCTTGGAAACACAGGAGATTAGTGATGGTTGATTTTCCATCAAGAAAACCATGCTGCTCAGGTACAATGTACTTCTTGAGGTTAAAATATAAATGTTCCAGGACAATACTTTCAAAAACCTTAGCAATCGTTGGTTGAATCACAATAGGTCTATAGTTTTTAGCATTACACCTACTCCATTCCATTCCATTTCGTTTTGTCATAAGAGCCAGAAGCTCCCTGACTGCAAACCCGGTACCTATAATTAAACATACCCGGGCCCCATGATGTAGGCCGAAGCATACGCACCGACCTTTGGTACACCATGGGAGGATGACTTAAGGTCATCAGGCTCACCGGCTGCCGAAGCAACCCTTCGGAGAGAGGGTTGCCCCTCAATCCTAACCAGGGATACCGGCTACTTGTTTAAGCGTCACTTCACCTGGGTTCCCCCAGGTACGAAACCCAGAAGGACCATAGTGGAATGCCCTGACGCATTTAGTGCAAGCAACACTCGGGACCTATCCAATCCCTGACAGGCAAAACCCGCCATCAAAGCCAGGAAGAAGGGGACCAAGCTGATGGGGGAAACCCCAACCACCTATTTACACCACTACCCCTTACCCAGTTGCTGGGAAACCAGAGGTGACCAAGGCGATAGATCCCTGAACACCCCCAGCGGGCTTGAACCCAGCACCCGATCTACTTCGTTTGCCCATCAAGCCCAACATCACTGCCAGGCCATCAGGGTTTCCCAAAAGGAGGCAGGAATAGAAGTGGGTCCCACCCGGATGAACCTATCCACCAAAGGTGGCGACACCCTTTGCTCAATTGAGGTTCCAGGGAGAACCCCCCACACTCTAGATAACCATACCTTCCATTACACCTACTACATTTACATTTACATTTACATTTGTTGTCATGAGAGCCGAAGCCCCCTGACTGCTTACCCGGTACCTATCCTTCAGGACATACCCGGGCCCCATGATGTAGGCCGAAGCTTACGCATCAACCTTTAGCACATCATGGGCGGATGACTTAAGGTCATCAGGCTCGCCGGCTGCCGAAGCAGACCCTTCGGAAAGAGGGTTGCCCCTCAATCCTAACCAGGGATTCCGGCTGCTTGTTTAAGCGTCACTCCACCTGGGTTCCACCAGGTCGGAACCTAGAGGTCCATAGTAGAGCGCCCCGACGCATTTAGTGCAAGCAACACTCGGGACCTATCTAATCCCTGACAGGCAGAACCCGCCATCAATAGCCAGGAGGAAGGGGACCATCAGCACGCTGACGGGGGGAACCCCAACCTCCCATTTACACCGCTGCCCGATCGAGGCCTTACCCATTGCTGGGAAACCAGAGATAACCAGAGCGATAGATCCCCAGATACCCCTGGCGGGCTCGGACCCAGCACCCGATCTACTTCGTTTGCCCGTCAGACCCAACATCACTGCCAGGCCATCAGGGTTTCCCAAAAGGAGGCAGGTATAGAAGTGGGACCCACCCGGATGAACCTATCCACCAGAGGTGGCGACACCCTTGACTCAATTGAGGTTCCGGGAAGAACCCCCCACACTCAAGATAACCATACCGTCCGTGCTCAGAGACAGGGATTGGTTTGCATAAGTACCTACAAACCGTTGCCCTCACACTGCGGAAAGTTACGTTGCCCTTGAGTGTCCCCGTGAGCTGCGGGTACTTGCCCGTTTTCACCTCCAGGAAAGGTTACTTCCAAAGTCGAGGATTTGCCCACTGAATGCTGGTCGCACACAACAAGCAGGCCGAAGCCCAAAGAACCACAGACACAGGTAGGTTAGAGATTATGATGTACTTCCATCTCTCCTAGAGCTAAACACCCCTCCATCCTGGATAAAGGAATGTCACTGGGACCCGATGCCCAGTCGACCATGTCTGTGGCCAACTTGAAAATGCCGATACCAACACGGAGCATTTACCTCCCCTCTGGGGGCTAGGTATTTCACCTCCCAGGACGAGGCTACTTCCAAAGTCGAGGATATGCCTCACAAAATGTCAGTCGAACACAACAGGTAGGACTCAGTCACAACCACAGTTACAGGTAGATGAGGAGAGGCGGAATTAACGGCATCACTGAGAGCTAAACACCCCCCCACCCTGAATGGAGGGAATGTCACTGGAGGCTCCCCCTAAGGGGCTGGCGCTTACCAGTCGTCCATAACTGTGGTCTACCTGAAGTGCCGGGTCTGACACCGGGCAGTTACCTCCCCTCTGGGAGAGCTAGGGTCCGCGTGGTCGCCCAGGCCACGAACCCACGCAAGCGTGAGCCCCCTGCGGTTCATTACACCTACTGCCAGATTTGAAAATGGGCACAACATAGCTAAGCTTTAAAAATGATGGGAAAATGCCCTCTTTAATTAACGCATTGAAAAGCACAGCCAGGTGAGGAGCAAGTACAGGGGCACAGAACTTTAGTACAAGTGGAGGGATATTATCCGGACCTGCACTCTTATTGTGGTCAAGAGCATTCAACTTCTCTTCAACAACAGTAGCCGAGATTGAGCAATGGGAGACGGTGTCGTTTAATCCAAAATCAAATGCAGGAACAGGAAAGTCAGCATTGCAAAATACAGATGAAATATGTTTCGCAAAAAGTTCACATTTTATCATCATTTTAATTTTATCATCAATCACTAAACCACGCAGCTTGAAATCCATGTTAGGTTAGTTTCTATTTCATTACTTATATTTTGATAACAAAGTCTTTCACCTCCATGTTATGTAGATAAAAAATAACACTTGATTTCACACTGACACCATGTACAATATTACTTAGGTAATAATGATAATTAACTTGGATTAAAATGAGAAACCATGCATTGAAGTAGTATATTACATCATCTTGAGTTTTGTTGTTCATTTCATGAGTTACAAAAATAGAAAACAGGACACCACAGCCTTATTGTAGATTCCTTTGGTAACATACTTACTATACATATAAAGTTATCATATAGGTTATACTATTTTGTAACAACACACTTTACTGCAACCCTGTAGCAGCAAACCTAGGTACTCGTTAAACCTAATGTTAAACATATAATTGATTGAAAATCAAATCAGGCAAATGGAAATTCACTTAGTCACACAGGTTTGCTGCCATGAGGATGTTTTTATTTTACTTTTGTTTTAATAAATATGATTTTATTCTAAAATGTATGTATTTTACCTGAGTCAGTGTTGAACAAAGGATTTGTTATCTCTATAATCAACTGTTTAGGAGCAACCTTTTCTGAAGTCATCAATTTTTTTTACTTTTGGTGTGTTTTAGAGAGGAGATGTGATTGAAAGCGAAATCAATGGAATCGGGAAGCTGGTGAACACTGTGGCATGATTCTGGTGTAGTATCACTATTGTAGAGAATATTTTCAGTTAGCAACCTATACAAAGAACTGATACTTGGTTGTGTAATGGCATCTTCTCAATCTTTTTTAAGTTTACTTAGGTTGTCATGGTGTCGTGTTTTTCACTGTTTATTAGTTATTGTGATGATGGTCAAGTGAAACTATACAGAGGCATTTCATCATATAGTATTTTAAGAAGCCGTTCCTCATATGTACAAAACTTAATAACATTACATTCCTTGATTTAAAATACCTCGGTTATTTTTACACCAAGTAGACTCCTACAATCTGACACCAAAGAGGGAGCTCTCTCATATTGAAGTAGTACTCACTAAAAAAACTAATGTTATTTAAATAGGAAATAAATCTACCAACAGAATATTTCAGTGGAAATCAGTTAAATGGAAATTCCCTTAGTCAGCAGGTTTACTGCGGCGAGGGTATTTTAAATTAGAATTGTGTTTATGATTTAGGCTTACTTTATTTGTTTTCTAGGTTGTATTCACTATATTTTTGTATTAAATTATTTCCTGTATGCTATTTCCTGTATTCCTGTGTGCTAATTTGTAGAACATCTATCAAATGTTGTTGTGTAACTCTATGAAGGCTTTTGAAAAATAACTACAGTAGACGATATTTTCTGGGAATGTTAAATTTAATTTAGGCTCAAACATCGAAAGGACTTTGGTTAGTTTTGTTTACAGATTAGTTATTACCTCAATGTACAATTTCATTATCAACTCAATATGAGACTATCATAAACAACGGAAAGGTGAATATGCTAAGCCTTCTTGTGAGCATAAGTCAACTTACTGTTCGACTGAAGTATCTACATTCTAATCTTTCTTACTTTTCAATAAAAACTTAATTTGAATGTTAAATTTCAAGTTACTTAAATTTAAACTCATTCACAGAAATATTGCTCTTCAATGAGATATTTACTCATAAACACCATGTCAGCAATAGAAAATCAGGATAATATTTTATGGAATTTATTACATTCTTTTGATTTTTTGCCATTTTTAGATTGTGCCATGACCCACATTTTAAAGGTAATATGTTTATTTATTTATAAATTTTCAGTATATTGCCTAATTTGTTTCAAAGTATGACAAAGTTTACTTAGTATGAAAATGGAACCAATATTTCCGTTAGTACCTTGACACAAATAGAATAGTTTATAGAAACCAAAATAGTAAAGTGAATATGTGAGAATACCTATGTTTTAGTACTTAAGGTATATACAATCGATACTATCTGGTAGTGGACCTTACTAAGATGCCTTATACAGAAAGACTGATTAAAAAATATGTAGCATGAAAATTTACTGAGTATGTAGTTATAGACTAATTATAGCAATACTGTATTTCCAACCCCTCCTGCCAACATGTGTTGACTAATGAGTATATACTAAACCACATTAAAAATGAACAGTTGAGAGTTGAGACAATACATTACTTGATTTGGTACTTTATTAAACTTGTTATAGGGCCTGTCCAGAAAGTAACTGATATTTTGAAATAAAATATTAACAAATAAACAACAAATTATTGTATTCATTTTAAAGATAAAACCTTGAGCTCCCTTTTGTTTGGTTGACATCTGCATTTATCATACTATGGAAGAAGCTATTTTATTCTCTGCATGGATTATACTGCTTGCAGTTTCGGCCACTTAATTATTCTGAATTATGCATTATGGTTGAAATAATCTTGGGGGAAAAGTATGCATTAGGGTTGACATCGTTTTGGGGATAAAAGCTGTGGACTTGAATTTTATGAACTGCACACCATTTTGTAAAATTTCATAAAAATCTTGTTTGAGTTCTGTATTACATGTTCTGCTGCTTCTTTATTTTATAACTACAGTAGTACATCAGATACAAAATTAAGCCTACCCATGTGCAGTGCTTTAACATAAAATTCAATATCTATTTACATGGTATTCAATTGGATTCAACATGTACTTCCTTCCTAATTGTTATTTCTGATGTAAGGTTAGTTATGATTTTTTTACTACGGCAACTACTTAACAAACATTCTTCACTACTGGCGTGATTTATTTCAAAGCTCATTTTGTCAGCCCACTACAGACAAAGTATACAGTAGCAAGTTGTAGCACTGGGTATCACAGCTGGATGTATATTGAGACTAGACGCAAAGTTAGACCAATGTATCTCTTACTTCCGTTTTCATTTTATGTTCTCTTGTAGTACATTGTAGTGTCATAACTGTGTTTTAATAGTTGAATTGAATTTCTATATAAGTTACTCTCTTTTCTCAAAGGATCAATGAATATTCTATAAGCTAACAAAATCTCTGTTACTTTATTATATTAAAAAATTTCACAATGTCGTAAGATACAAATTTAAAATTTATGCATTTTTGTCTAATTAAAACAGTTTATCCTGATCTGTTTTACTTTAACCTTGTGTTATTTGAATGCACATACCGTGTGCAAACATATAGGGTGTCTAACTATAAAAATATGAGATTACGGCCTGATTTCACCAAATTCACGCTATCGATGGTTTAGTTAAACTTCGGTTAAAACTAACTGATGATTTAAACCACAGTTAAGGAAATCTGGTTTCACCAGCAAAAACGCGTCAAAACTAAAGCTGGTTTTATAAACGAGAGTTTAGAGTAAAATCCAGGTGGCGGTGGCTGTAAAAACTGTCATAATACCGGGCTGTTATGGGAGCAATAAGTAAACATAACCTAGAAAATAAATTGGTGTTTATATGAGGCAGTGAAAACAAAACTGGAGACAGCATGATTAGATTCTGAGCAATTAGAACAAAATAAAAACAGAAAACAAGAATAAATAGCTAAACAATTAACATGAATAAATAAAGGCAAAGGAATGTCGATAAAACAAATTCAGTTGAGGAACAGAGGATTGAGTTTTGCTGTTAAGTGTTGATTCAAGACTCAGAATCTAACCTTTACGGTACATTTAAAATATGTAGTGAGAAAACTTGAGGCAAAAAGAGTTACAAGAACTAGACATAATAAAGATACCATAAAAATAATGATTTTCTATAAATACTAGCAGAATAATGACAATTTAGGTTTAGTTATTCATTGTTATTCATAGTTATTCATTACGTCTGACCGAACTAAATTAATTGTTTGACCGACTAATGACCATAGGGATTCCTACCGTAGGGTTACTCAATAGGAAAAGGGAGCCTATTTTTTCGAACAAATAAAAAATGAATTTGATATTGTTGGTAGAAAAACACTTTTTCAGCCGGGATAAAAGAGTGGCTGATCACATACCTAGGGATAAGCCTTTTCTAAAAATCTTGTGGGATAATCTTAAGAAAAAGGCAAAACATTTTTAATAATTCATATATAGTAATAAAATTAATTTTGTCTTAGTAGACGGAATGTTTTCGTCTTAGTACGGTCTTCATTAACTTTTCTCTTATCCACCTAGTTCGGCGAACAACAGGCTACTCTTTATAAACTTAAAGCCAGCCGATATTTACTTAACGAAAGATTAAAGAAGTTAACCGGTCAAAATTGGGCAGTTAATTATCTAACGACAGTTTAGTCTAAACTAGCGCTAACGGCGAGTGGTGAAATCCGATTTCGTCAGTTAAGAGCTAACTGCTGTTAGAGCAAGGCTTAACGGCGGTTTAAAAGTTTGGTGAAATCGGGCCTTAATGTCTTGAGATATACAGGGTGGAATGAAGTTAGTGTTAAAAACTTGTATGTGTTAAGCTACTTAGTATTGGTGACAAAATGGCACTAATTTAGATTTCCATACCCTCACAGGTAGGGAATAACAGGCAAATTAAGATTATTTTTAAATATTTGTATTTTCTTCGATAAAAATGCTCTAAGTACGTGTCATAATCTTTATTCTATATAGTCAGCTGTTGATAAATCTATATCTATAAAAGAGGAACTATGTATGTGTGTGTGTGTGTATGTATATACGTTATGGACTCCGAAACCGCTCGACAGATTGTAATGAAACTTTCAGGCATTATTAAGCATCTTTCAAGGATGGTTCGAGTGAAGTTTGGTGCAGATCTATCAAAAGGGCTCTGCCCCAGAGGGTTTTAAGTGGGCCAATGTCAGACTTTTTGATCTACAATGTTTACAAATAAATATAATTTAAAAGCAGATGTTTACTTTTACCAACTGTTTTGTAGGTTTGAATAATTACAACATTCTGTATTAGCATTAGTCGTGATTTGAAATAGTGCCACAGTGTTTCTACAGAGTGCAGCACAGAAAACTATTTTACTTTTGAATAAGTCCAAATGTATTAAACCCCAATCGCAGCACACCTGTGCACTTAACAACGTTTAAATTCTCCAATGTTAAATATTAAAACATAAAAACCTTTATCAAAGTATTATAAACAATAAAAGGGATGACTTTTTAAAATTTATGACAACAGCTAATTTGCAATCAAAAGGTGAGTGAGCGTAGCGAACGAACATCAACCTGGAGGCGAGTTAGCGTAGCGAACGAACATCAACCTGGAGGCGAGTTAGCGTAGCGAACGAGCTAACCTGAAAACAAGTGAGCGCAGCGAACGAGCTCCAACCTAAAGGTGAGTGAGCGTAGCGAACGAACTTCAACCGGGACGTGATTGAGCCATGCGAATACTTATGAAGTTAAACGGGGCAAAGCCCGTGGGTACAGCTAGTATTAAATAGAAAACACTTCTTATTGTTACTTTTAAAAACATTACATTACAAAAACATCTATGTTGTTCAAATAAAGTTATATAATTTACAATGTGCGTATATTTCAATAGTACGGTCACAACACTTTTTGGCGACGAGTAAAAATCGAAATAATGACATTTTACATGTTCAAATAATCTGTAATTATTATTCAATCTGTTTCAATCATGCAACCTACACTACTTTCATCACATTTGACTGAACCACAATGGATGCTGACCAGTTCAAGGAATTCTTACAAGTTTTTCAACAGCAACAACAAGAACAGTTTCAACAATTATTCTCACATTTCACAAGGCATGAGAAGTCGGAGGTATCAGTAAGTCTTACAAATATTGCTCCATTTGAAAATTTCGAACCTAGACGTGAAAAGTTTTGTAATTATCTAGAACGCTTATACTCTGAAAGGCCTGACTCAAAAGGAAAGTATTGCTCAACTCTTATGTGTATCTATTGGGTCAGTACATTACAACGCCCTATCAGCTTTTCTAGGCCCAGAGAAACCAATAAAAAACTTACCTTACGATGATCTTGTCAAAGTTCTAACTCAAATGCTTGTTCCTAAGAAAAATGTAGTCGTTTCTCAACATTACTTTTTGAACATTTATCAAAAGAATGGTCAATCAATATCAGATTTCGTAGCCTCACTTCAGCGAGATTTAGTTGATTGTGAATTTACAGTTAAATGTGAATGCGAGAAAACAAATTCAATCTCTGATGTATTTTTACGAGCTCAGTTCATCCGTGGCCTTCGAGATGATTGGCTTAAAGAACAGATTTTACAATCAAATCTCTCTAGTTTTGACGAAATACTCAACAAGGCTATTGCTTTAGAGGCATCAAAACTTGACAGCAAAGAACTTTCTAAACCTAATCAGACATCAAGTTTTAACAATTTTACTTCTACCGAATCTACTAATGTGATTTCCAGCAGTTACAGAACTTCTACAGACCGTTCGAAAGATCCAGGAAACAGAAGATTAAATTCAAACAACAGATCTTCACCTGAAAACTACAAGTCTAGATCGTCTAGATCTGTCTCCCGAAAAAGGTACATCGACTTCAAGGGCTTGGGAATTGAAAACGTATGTTTGCGATGTGGTAGAAATAGTCACAAGGCAAGTAACTAAGTACTTTTTGTAAGCTTGATTTATTTAAAGCTTATTTACACCTGCAAGTTGATGAAGACAGTAGTCAAATTCAAACTATTTCGACACACAGAGGTACATACAGGATCCACAGACTCAGTTTTGGAATAAAAACTGCTCCAGCCGAATTCAATCGGATCATATCTCAAATCCTCATGGGACTAAAGAAAACAGAAGCCTATTTTGACGATATCATTGTTCATGGAAACACATTCGATGAGTGCCTTCAAAACCTACAAGCATGTCTTCAACGACTGTCCGACTACAACTTGCATGTAAACAGAAATAAATGCACTTTTATGACTGAAAAAGTGGAATACCTTGGTCATGTTGTTCAACATAACAAAATCAGCAAGTCTCCATCCAAAGTTCAAGCGATTCAAGATATGCCACATCCACACAATGTCGAGGAACTCAAAAGATTTTTGGGTTTGGTTACATACTACTCAAGATTTGTACCAGATTTTTCTACAATGACATTTCCACTCAGATGTCTACTGAAGAAATCAGAACCATGGTTGTGGACAGCTACTTGTGAATCTGCATTTCTAAAACTCAAATCGGAACTCTGCAGTGACAGAGTGATAATTCCATTCGACCCTAACCTAAACCTCATCCTGACAACTGATGCTAGTCCTACAGGTGTCGCAGCTGTACTAAGTCATGAAATCGAAGGAGTAGAACGTCCGATAGCATACGCGTCTCGTTCTTTGAATCCGAGTGAAATGAACTACAGTCAACTTGATCGAGAGGCATTGGCGATTATTTTTGGTGTGAATCATTTCTACAACTACCTACTTGGCAAGAAGTTCATTTTAGTTACAGACAACGAACCATTGACAAGGATTTTTCACCAAAATAAAGCTCTACCACAGATGACGTCAGCTCGCCTACTGCGATACGCTTCATTCCTCTCCGGATTTGATTACATTGTTCGATTCAAGAAGGGGAGTAGCAATCAAAATGTAGATTGTTTATCAAGATCTCCAGTCAAAACATGCAGTAGTTCAACAGATCAAGAAATTGGGGAAGAAGTGAACCAGCTTTATTCTCAATCACTTTTTCAAGTATCCAACCGTGAAATAACTTCAAAGACAATCAAAGAAGAAACCGCAAAAGACCATGAAATGAATGGAATAGTTCAAACCCTGAAAAACAATTCTACTGACTCAGAATACACCCTACTTGACGGTATATTGTTTCGAAAAGACAGAATTGTAATTCCAACATCTTTACGCTCCAAAATACTCAGTGAACTTCATGAAACTCATCTGGGAATAACCAAAATGAAGCAACTCGCTCGACGCTATGTTTACTGGTCAGGAATTGACGGTGAAATCGAAAGACTAGTTAAAGGATGTAAAAGTT